AGCCATAAGATTAGCGCGAATAGTTGCTGACCAAGAGGGATAGTTTGAATCATCAAGTTTCGCCGGAGTAAGAGATTGGAGATTCCGTACGAATAGCTTGAGGCCAGTGGGGAGGTGATCCATCGGATCAGCTGTTGTGGGAGCCATGGTGACTGCCGAAGAAGATGTTGGGGCTGAAGAAGGAGCTGCGGCTGAGAGATAGGAAGGTGCTGCCGCCGAAGATAGTGCTGCGGCTGAGAGGAAGGTACTGCCGAACAAAAAAGTGTTGCGGCTGAGAAACCCTATGCGTGAAGAATTTTTTTTTCCTCTGCTTGCGTTAACCCATGAGATAGAGAGGTGGATCGTGATGCTCTGATACCATGTTGAATTAATATGAATTAATGGATTTTACTTAAGCAATAGAGGTGAATACATGTGAGTATATATAGCTAGAGATCCTAACACAATTAGGATTAGGATTCTTCTAATATGGTAACTAACTATAATACAATTCTACTATAACTAGGAATATTACTATAGTGTCTAACAAATAGTAACATTTTTTACTTTCAATCATATACTCTCACTTTTACGTGGAGTCATTCTTCATGGAGAAAGACTCAATAAGACTTCCCCTGAGTCCGGGTCTAAGTTCCCTTCTCTTCAGGTACAAAATTTGGTCTGTGGCCTGACTAGAATGTGTACCTGATGTACGCACATACATACTCAACACTACCTAATCAATCACCCACATCTATACACTCCAATCTATTATCACATATTAGAGTTGTTCTAGTTCATAACATCATTTTAGGTGTCTTTAGTTGCTTAATCATGTATATAAATTGACGAAATAAATACCAAAATCTTACCATACTTATGATTTAAAAAAACAATGTAAATATGAGTTGAAAATGTCAGGTGATCAATCATCAGAGAGAGTGATTGATCCCCCGTAAAAAAAGAAGTTTGTTGGTTTTATTCCGAGGTAATCAATTACCTATCTAGGTGGGCAATTTATTATCGAAGTGGGTTATCGATTACTTGACGGTGTCTATGCATATTTGAGTTCGTTTTGTGCTATGGTATGATTCTAAAAGAGCTTTTATTGATTATATAAACTCCTCTTCAAATAACTAAGTTGTTTATTTCATTATAGATTTATAGGGTATGTTTAATACATTTTCAAGCGTTCTCCAACACCAAGGATTCATGAATGTCAAATTGGGATATTAACAAAACTATTAGCAAGCAAATGATTCCTGCTTTGGTATCTCATCCACATTTGGGGCCTTTGATGTAGCTTCATTAATCTTGCATGCTCAGCTAGACTTGTATCTAGATTATGTATTTAATCCTCGTTGTGGTGTACTTGTTAGATAATGATTTTGCAGTTTAGAGTTAGATCCTTGTTTAGCCGATAAATTATTGACATCTCCTAATGTAATCACTGTCCTTTGGGATCGTATTTTGCCATTGAGCTAGTAGTCTTTCTTAGTCTTCCTCGTTTTCTCACTATCGTATAGAGAAGGAAGATCTATTTGCACTAGTCTAAAAATTAGTAGGGATTGATTCTTATGATAGTATTTACTATGCCCAACACAACTTATATCCGTTTATACTTTGTGTTTGCTTATTATATTTACCACTACACATCATGTTAGTGGGACACGCTTTATTTTTAAGACCATTTTCTTTTCAGTTGAAAAAATGAACTTCTAACTTCTTCCAACTCCTTCCAGTTTCTTTGAACCCCCTAGTTCCTTCTTACTCCTTCCAGTTTCTTCCAACAATAACTTAACAAGTACTCCCTTCGTTCCTAAAAGATTGTCACAGTTTGACTTTTTAAGTCAAATTGTGGCACCTTTTGACCATTAATTATGCAAAAACTATATTTAGTTATAATATAAATTTAATACAATTGGGTTTTTTCAAACTATAGTTTTGAAATATCAATTTTTTTAATATTTAATTATTTTAAACCATATTTAGTTTGTGACTAAAGGGTGCCACAGTTTGACCAAAAAAGTCAAATTGTCACAATCTTTGAAGGACGGAGGGAGTGTTAATATATGATTTATATCAAATAACATTATGTATCCAAATTTGTACTATATCACCTCAAAAACGAACAATGATGAATTCTTTTTATCAAAAATTAAAATTTTCTAACATATTTATTTGAATGATCATCTAATTGAGTGACTTTTTAATACTTAAACTCTTCTAACATTTTCCAACTCGCTCTAGTTTTTTCTAACTTCTTCTAGTTTCTTCCAATTTCCTCCAGTTTCTTCTAACATCCAACTCTGAAATTTCAATCCAAAAGAACATGGCCAAAATAGGTATGAACACAAGTCAAAGAGGATTCTAATGCGAGAGGCATTTGTGTGGCATTGAAATTTCATGGGGAAAGGCCACCACAACAAACAAACCAATCTGGAGCATACAACACAAACGAAACAAGGAGATGTGCTACACATATGTTACAACGCAAGATGCAGTTGACTATGTCTTGAGGAGTGCTGTAACAATTTCTATGCCACTGAAATAAAACTGAAATTTGCAGGGCCTACGTCTATGTAACAACCCTTCCACTTAATCATCGTAATGATTACATTATCAATCACAATAGACTCCTCTTATGTAATGACTTAATAAACTTACATTTTGAGCCTTGTGTATAATAGGCTATTTTTAAGACTCTATTTGGAAAATCACTGCATGTTTGAGACAAAAATGCTAGCTAGATCCGTGACTCCGACTCCTTATGCAAGTCGGATTAGCCACAACTTTAGGTGACATAACGAGTGACATAGCTCACGCACTCTACAACAACATAATGTTGGCATGATGCTACAACTCTATTTAAAACAAAAAAGTGGCTAGATAAGACAACTTCTAACAGTATTTGTTTGTCAAAAAAAAATAATTCCAACCAAGAATCATAAGAACTAAACTAAACAATACATAAGGAGGACAAACAAGGAACTAACAATCTCCTCCTTTGACAATTTTTTGACAAAAACAGAAAGTCAAGCCATTTTGAACCTCTTCCCCTTTTTGCAAAAAAATACCAATGTTTTCTTGAGAAATTCTGGGGAAACAAGAAGAGTAATATTCAAAGCAATCCGGAATAGATCCATCTTTCCATATGTTGGATGTTAGTTAGGTTCTATTGATTCCCTATCATGTGATGAGAGCAGCCACTATCTAGAAGCCATTCGTTGGGTGTGACACAGTGACATGAATTACTAATAGAAGCATGATGTTTGGGGATCCAAATAGCGTTTTGGATTCTCACTTTATTTTCAGCAAACCTTCTTCTTGATTGCTCGAGTTTCAGCTTCTTGTCGTGTCTCTTGATGTGATCCCATTTTTTATAGTTGAAGAACATAACATTGTCATAGTGATGCTGATGCTGCTTCTGTCAATGTGTGTAATCATAGGAATTTTTGATCACCTGAGAATTTGCATTGCTTTTTCCTTTAACTCACTTATCTTCTTCAATGGCGGTGTAGTTGTTAGGAACTTTGCATCCCTTGTATCTCCTGGAAGTTATGGTCGGAAGATTGTTCCTAAGATCGTTTCCTAGCTAGCTGTTCAGCCTTTTCTCTACGATTAAATTAAATGGAGACTTGTTGCATCCTGAGAACCGAAGACTAGATTTGTCTTTTGTGAATTTTCTAGTGTTGATAGCTTCTACAATCTTTTCTACTCTAGCACTCTATATCCACTTGATGTAGTCTTGAATTTTTTTAAGGTTATGTTCAAGATCCTCCTTCATGTCTTCAAGCACTTTAATTTTGTCTAGAGCCTTGATGAGATTCTCTTGTGTTTTGGTTAACTCATTTGTAACTCTATCCTTTTCAAGAATGTTTCTCTTGTTTATCATCAAAAGATCTGATCATTTTTCTTGAAGATCCAACAGTTGAGAATTTAGATCATCCTTTATGTCAACCTGAGGTGTTAATGCATAACTATTTCCTCCACTAGCATCTCTTGTCTCAAGTTTGTCATTGCCCTAGGTTGATGTGTATGCAAGCTTTTTGTTCTTTAAACTACTTGCACACTCAGATTGATAGTGAGCAAAGCCTCTACATTCAAAACATTGAGGTCCTTTCTTTTTGAGTTTAGGGAACTTAGGAATAGAGTCCTTTTGCATTTGGTTTTTAAATCAGGGACCTTTTGATGATTCTCATTGATCCATATTCTTTCCTTTCTTATGCATCCATTTCTCTGGTGAATAAGGAAAGTTGCTCTTGGAAATTGAAAGAATAATATTTTGGGAGAAAGAGTTTTTCTTGTATTTCTGATGATACAATATGAACAAAGGTTGTCTATATATAAGATCCCACATACAAGTAACTCGATATGGAAACAATTACAAAAGGAAAGGAAATCAACATATACCGGGAAACTATCATACACATAATAAGTGAGCATGAAAAAGTGAAATGCCCAACTTAGGAATAAAAAACTCCAAATTTGATTTACCCAACACCTTTGTATGTATATCTGCAAGCTGGTGCATAGTATAAACATGATCCATGCGAATCACACCGTGAAGGAGCTCATCACGAACAAAATGATAGTCAATTTCAATATGTTTCATGCGCTCATGAAAAACTTGATTAGCTGTAATGTGAAGTGTAGTTGTGCAATCACAATGAATAGTCATAGGATTAGTGTGCAAAATCCCTAGGGAGTGCAAAAGACTCTTTAACCACTTCAGCTCAGAGGTAGAAGCGGCTAGATCCCTATACTCAGCTTCAGCAGACGATCGTGCAATTCTCAATTTTTTATTTGTCTTCCAAGAAATAGGTCAATTCCCGAGCTGAACAAACCATCTAGCTAAAGAGAGCCTCGTAAGAGGGCACGCGGCCTAATCAGAGTCACACCACCTAGTAAGCTATAAATCACAATCCTCAGAAAGAAGAATACCATGTCCTGCACACCCTTTGAAATACCAAACAACACCAAGGGAAGTAGCCCACTGATCCTCTCATGGTTCCTTCAAGAACTTTGCTAAGGTGTGCACAACATAAGACAACTCTAGATGAGTGATAGATAAATAAACTAGACGCCTAACTAGGAGACAATAAGGTTCCGGGTCAACAAGAACCAGATCTTTGGAATAAGCGAAGTGATGATTGGGCTCCATCAGTGCTCCCAATGGTCTAGCACCTAGCAAACTTGTCTCAGTAATAATATCTAGAGCATACTTTCATTGACAAATAAAGATTCCAGATGCAATCCGAGCCACTTCAATTCCAAGAAAGAATTTTAGAGCTCCCAAGTCCTTCATGTGAAAACAATCAGCCAAATACAATTTAAATTTGGCTATCATCTCTGGATTATCCCCAGCGATAATCAAATCATCCCCATAGATTAGAACATGAATCACTCCATTTTTTCCAAAAAAAGAGAATAAGGAATAACCCGAGATGGATTGAACAAATCCATATTGTCTCAAAGCTGTAGAAAACTTAGCAAGCCAACATTGTGGTGCTTGTTTCAAGCCATACAAAAATTTCTTAAGTTTGCACACCGCATTAGAAGAGTTGGAAGAAACCTGGTGGAAAACACATATATACATCTTCTTGAAGTTCTCCATTTAGAAACTCATTGTGAACATCTATTTGATGCACCTCCGAGCCCCGAGCAGCCGCAACAGCCAAAAATGTCTGTACTGTGGTTAATTTTACCATATGTGCAAACATCTCATTATAATCGAGACCTTCCACTTGATGGTTACCAACTATTACCAACCTGGATTTGTATCTCTTAATACTTCCATCCGCCTTGGGTTTAATCTTATAAACCCACTTTCAACCAAGTGGCTTCCTGTGACGAGGTGGGGAAACAAGTGTCCAAGTATCATTAGCTTCTAAAGCATCAATTTCTCCACGCATGGCATTTCTCCATTTCACATGTTGGAACACCTTCTTGAATGTCTTAGGCTCAACTTCGGCATCAAGTGATGTTAGGAAACATATGTATTTGTGAGAGAACATCTCGTAAGCAATGTAAAACAAGAGCGGATATGTAACACCCCAACTCGCGTAACCCGAACCAAGGAGTTAACGAATCGGGTTGCTTCTAAATTGATATTCACAACACAACAATTTAGACAAATTATTTAAAAACATCCAGCCACCCAATTAATTACGAAAAGTTTAGAGTAAAGTCTATCAAGTGCATAAGTCTCAAAATAACGTTCTACAATAAATGTTTAACCCAAATAATTAATTAACACAATAATTAAATGTCCATAATAAAAATGGTGACTTCATCCACGGCATCACGTGTCAACGTCCTCCAGGCTGGCCTTCTCGATCCAAATCCCTACCTGCGTGCAGTCAAAGACAACAAGCCTACACGCTCAGCTAAAAGCTAAGTGAGAGAAATATCTAACGCTAGAATTAATTTCGCAGATAGTATCGCATTTATATAATCATAAAAATCAATGAACAATCAACATTTATTTTCAGATTGAAGGATCCAACCGTTCCAATTCATTTATTCCCAGAGGGCCAAATTCAACAGACTTGAGTTACGGACACTCAAGCGGATCCCTCGAGGCCGATGCTTGGACAAACCCATAGAGAATCCTCAATGGGTGGGTGGGAGTCTTTACCAAGGAATCCCTTAGGTAGAACACTGACTCCCGTACGTACATTTTGAACCCTGGACAACTAGATATGCAAACATGCTCCACAAGGCCTGAACCTAACAACAGTCCTATGGGTGTTCCAACTATCCAATCCAGTTCAGATCCGCCTAGGTATACTAGGTGGCCAATTTTCAACATAGTTCTCAAGTGTTAACAAACACTTAAACATTTTCATTAACAGAACAACACACTCAGCGGCCTATCGGAAGAATCACTTCTCACTTATTACCATCATGCTCAACAACAAGATTAAAATCAACAATATTTAAATAACTTACCTGTGTTGCGAACTCGGGTCTAGGGACTTATCCTCAGGCCCGCTACACCTGCAGAATCAGCCTGACAACGCGCCAGACCAACCCGTCAATCCGACCCGTTGCCCCAATTGGGCAGCCCCTTACTGCCAGCCCAAACAGCCCGGTCAACCGGCCCGGGCAGCCCCACCAACGGCCCAAACAGCCGGTCCGGGAAGCCCCGCCAACCAGCCTGAACAACCCAAATGCACCGTTCGCCCAAACGAGTCGTGCAACAAGCCAATTAACCCAATTCCAACCCAATTAGACCCAATTGCACAAGAACTTACCCAATTGGACCTGAATTGACCCAATTGCACAAGAACTAACCCAATTGGACCCGGATTGACCCAATTGGGTCCAAATCGGACCGATTGGGTCAAAATTGTACCCTTCAAACCTGTCCAACACCGCGGCCACAGCCACCACAAGCCAACCGCTGGCGGGTCGCCGAAAAACAGCCCCACAGCTCCCAATTCAATTACCCAACAAATTCAACACAAAATCAACCAAGAATTTCACAATCAAACGCAAGAATTATATAAATAAGATCCTAATCTACGCATTAATGCAAACGGAAGATATTTGGGCAACGAATCACAACTCAATTAACGACGAAACTTGAACCGGATAAAGGGGGAAACCACTGCCCTGCTCATGGGCAGATCTATAGCTTGGGCATGGGGGGCACATGCCCCCAATCAATTTTTAAATTAAGCTATTAAAAAAGAAAATTTTAGATGGAATAAAAGAAGTGCCCCCAATTAATTTCCAGGTGTGCCCCCATTGAATTGTCTCAACCCAAGTTTTGATATCTCTCAATCCAATTAATTAAAATTAGCCTTTAACCTTACTTTTCATTTTTTTCAAACAAATTCCAACTTTCAAGTAAGATATATGTGAAGGACTATTATCTTGAAGTTTCTTCTAATTTACTCCCTCCGTCCTAAAATCATCTTCCCACTTTCCTTTTTTCTCCGTCCTAAAATCATCTTCCCACTTCTAAAAAAAGTAGCTAAATGACTTTAATACCCTCAAATTCCACCGTATCTCTTTTTCTTCTCACTTCATTCGATCTTTTCTCCATTTCTTCTCTTTCTCTGTTCGCCCTTTTCTCTTTCCCTTTCTTGTCTTTCTTCTTTTCTCCCTTTCTTCCCTTTCTTTTCTTTCTCGTTCTCCCTTCTCTCTATCTTCTCAATTTCGGATTTTCCCTTTCTTGTCTTTCTTCTTTCTCCCTTTCGTTTCTATCTTCTCACCGCTTCTCCAAATGTTGTCATTCCATTGACGCAATAATTAGAGGTAGATCTGACAAAATCAATGCGGATATAAATCGAGAGAAGATGGGTTCAGTGGATCTACATGACCGAGATGGTGCAGATGGCTTCGGCGATCCAAATTGAGATGGTGCAGATGGGTTGGAGATCCAAATCGAGATGGTGCAGAAGGGGTCGGCGGTGCATATGGGTTAGGAGATCCAAATCCAGATGGTGCACTAGATATGTATTTTTTTTGTGAAAATTTGTTCCCAGATCTGCTTGGCAACGAGTCCAGTTGATGCAAAGAGAGATAGTGAGTGTTGCGTTGCGGGAGATTAGGATTAGGGGCATTTTTGGAAGGTCAAAGCATTTTTTGCACAACCTAAAAAATGAGCTTCGGTCAAAGTGGGAAGATCAATATAGGAGGGAGGGAGTATTTACTAAGTATTTAATAATGTTAATGTATGAATCCCTTTGTCCCAAAAAAATTGACTTGACAGAGAGATTATAAAAAAAATTATGTGGTTAAAAATAGTACAGAAGAGAGAAATTGTGAAGATCACAAACTTCTTTCTAAAAATAAAAAGTTGAATCTTTTTTAGAAGAATGCAATGAAGTTGCAAAAAAGTTAACTTTTTTATGAAAAAATGGAGTATAATTGTCCTCCTAATACAATGCATTGGACTACAAATGTTAGATATAGACTCCTTTATGGTGTTTTTAGTTTTCATAAATTAATTTTACACAATTTTTTTTAGTATGATCATAATATGAAATTGATTTTTTTAATGAAATTTGATAATGTGAAATGGTTAATTTCATACATTAGCCCATCTAGTAGTGTTAAAATTTGGGTTAAAGGAAACATCAAAAAATTAAACCGATGAAGCTTGGAAGTAAAAATTAAGAGTAAACTTATCATAAGAATAGAGTCTATAAGTGAAATATTTAAGATATGATAATTAAACTAATGTATTCCATAGTTTTTTCTTCTTTAATTTGGTATTATTCAAATTAATTTTTTGAAAGCATTAAATTTACTAGATTTTTTCTCCATTTTACATTGGTTTTATAAAAACAACTTAAGAGCGCTACCTAGACCCTTGTATTTATCTTACCTCCAGTCGTCAAAGGTGCCCCCAGTCAAATTCTTTCCTGGATCCGCCACTAGCCCTGGTTCGGCCAAACCCACCGCACGATGGAGGAGGAAGGTCGGCGACGGCGTTCGGCGACCTGGCGGACTCGGTGGCTGCTGCGGTTGCAAGCTCCTGGTTGACGGTGACAAAGCAGAGGAAAAGGGACGGCAAAAACGAACTGGAGAGAGAACGAGATGACGGCGGTGCTACTTTTCCCTGTGTTGGAGGCCGCCGGTTTCACCGTTGTGGTGTCACCGATCGAACAGAGGTTGGGCAGGGGAACAAACGAAGAAACCGACGGAAGGGAGAGAGAGATTCACGCACCAACTGTAAGTACGTAACCCCTAGCTATTAAATTTATAATTAAATAGGTTTTTGTCCAGTCTAACCAGTTAGGATAAATTCAGGCCCAATTACCTTATTCGGCAGTCGTAACTTGAGTCTAGTAAGTCCGATTCTCAAACCGTTTGCATAGTCGAGTTTAGAACAACGAGCCTTACAACGTAGGTCAACTCTCATATTAAATACACAAATTAGAAAAATAATCATCGTTTTGACTGACTCAGTAATTAATTAATTATATAAACTAATTAAAAATACTAAGCCGGGTTTCAGAGCGTTACATGATATTTGCAATTCTACCCAACAAAGGTATTGGCAACATGCATAACATAGTGCGTGAGGCGCACATTTGGGTGTTTTTCACGTCGTTCGCGCCCTAAAGCTTCTTCTGTGGGTTCAGATGTCACTGGTCAACTGCCATCCATGGTACGGTCCATGGGGTCGACAGTATGAATCTCTGCTAAAACTTCTACATTATGCCTTGTCAATGATCGACCGCCAACCATGATACGGACCATGGGGTTGATCGTCTATAGCTCCTCGGGATATTTTACATTCTGCCTAGTCCATGGTTGACCATTGTTATGAGTACGGTCGTGGGCTTCGACAGTCTGGAACTCTTCTCAACCTTGTCCTCCTCGCGGTCGACTGTCCTCTTCAGGATGGTCCAGTGGCTCAACGTCCTGTAGCATCTCTGAATTCAGGATTTCTTGCAGTGGATCATCTTCCCCGGGACAGTCATGTGGTCCGACCATCCATACATCATGTTCATCTTTATGGGAAACGAGCAAGCCATTCAATCCACTTTCATCTAAGGATTTTTCTGCAGAAGTCAAGAAAGGAAATAGATCCTCACAAAACACAACATCCCGGGACACTTTGATTTTTCTATTGTCTGGGTCGTGTATATGTCATCCCTTATTTCCTGGCAGATAACCAAGGAATATTCCGGGATTGCTTCGCGATGCAAATTTATCATCGTTCCTCTTCAAGATTTGCACATAACATATTCATCCAAAAACACGAATATGAGTCCGACCAGGCAACTTTCCATAGATTTTTTCGAATAGAGTAAACCTCTAGAAATGATGAGGGTGTACGATTGATTAGAAACGCAGCGGTGTGAACACAATCTCCCTAGAATTCAATCGGAAGTCCAACAGGAAATCACAAAGCCCAACCCACATTCAGAATATGTCGATGTTTGCAAACACTCTACCATTCTGCTGTGGAGTAGACGCACAAGACGTCTCATGAACAATTCCTTGTTCCTGAAAATACTCGTTTAGACATTCATGTTTTGTACCATTATTACTTTGAACACACTTTATTTGTAACACCCTAATCCGCCCAGGTCTGCAACCCCTTTCGGACTAAAGTATTAACTTGGTTATTGTAAAAATTTAAAACATTGCAAACACTTTTTTATCACAATAATATTTTTCATAAAATAAAAAATAACAGTATGGAGTTTTCAATGTTGCAGAAGCTTAACAAATCACAATCAGAAACATAATTAATTTATGTTCTTTAATTCAAAATCATCACTTCCATATCGACTATCTCGCATGCATTTGCCACCAGGATCATGTCACATCATTCTTTCTATTTACCTTTGTATTGCAAATAAAACACTACACGCTTAGCGTTGAAGCTGAGTAAGAATATCTAATCCGTCGAACATCCATATAAACTGAATCTCAATTCATAATCAAATCATTTGATATCTTGCACATAATATTCAATTCAAGCATTCATCATATTCATAATATTCTATTTCAATTTATTTCATGATATATACAACATTCAATATTCAGTATTTCGATAGTGCCCTTATATTAATCTTAATCTAAGGCCAAATCATTTTGATAACAAGCTCTTAAACTATTCCTTGTCTAAAGAAATATTTCTAACCGGGATCTTAAACTATAAATAGTTTAAGGCAGAACACAAGAATCGATGATCCATCCTATGAGTCTTATGGATCACGTACCAACCGAACAGTGAACCGTCGGGTGGGTGATATCCCCAAACAAGTGATCCTCGAGTTTGGCTTGGATCTCATACATACGTTTTAACCCCAGATTTTTGAATTGGTTATATAGGTATATCTTAGAGTTCTTCTAGATATCCTTAATAATCAACATCAATTAACTCAATGGGTATATCTTAGATTTTTACTAGATACCCTTTAACAATACACATTCTTTTCATAATCATCAATATATTCATTTTTAAATCATGGTTGGATCATTCATAATAATCATTCTAATCCAAATATTCATCAAGGTTTAATCATCATATTTATCAATCAATAATATTCATCTTAATATCCAATAACAAATAGTGGCCTAGCGTCGAGCGTTAACACCTTAGCTTACCGTCATACATCACATAACGCTCTTCGATGATCAAAATATCATTTTTATTTCCAAAAATCATTTTTATATTGATCATAATTAGTTGGTATCAAAAATAGGATTTAATAGTTCAAAAATCGGGTTTTGAGGAAAATATCAGGTTCTAGACGGTACCTGGTATGGTACCTCGGTACCATGTCACGGTACCTTTGTAACGCCCCAAAACATACCCTAGAATAATTAATGAATAATTAATCAATTAATCAAATTTGTTTGGATTAAAATAAATTATTGTTGGGCTTTGGGCCGATATGAATTATGTTTTAATATCCAATACCAAAATCTGGATAAGTCTCATAGAGATAAATCCAATATGTTGACTATTTGTGTGGTCTTGATTGGGAAACTGAGTATAGACCAAAATCAAGAATAAATAAAGAAATTAATTATGATGCATACTTTGTAATGATTTATTGAAATAAATCACGAGAACAAATGATGTGAATTAAATGTGAGAATCTTTTTGAATAAAAGGTCAAATAAACCAATTTTGACTCTGTCAAAGTCAACCACCCAAAACTATGATGTCAGAAAAAGTATTACGTATAAATATAAAAATTATATCGTTGGATAAAGCTCGACTGTCTGATCGCGACGATGCAAACGGATTTCAATTCGGAGAAAGTTGGACCAAAAAGTGTACCCCGACTGGGACCGGATTAGTCCCAATCAGGGAAGAGTCATAGCAATCAGACTAAATCAGCCGACCTTCCCATTTCGCGGATCGTGAGTCACCACTGACTCAACTCCATTTACTTCTTCTTCTTCTTCCTGACCAATATATAAGGAAAACCTCTCTTCCTCATTTAACCACCATTCTCCTTCAAATAAGTTCTGAGAGATAGCCTTGAGTGTAAAGAACGTTGTGGTGCTGTCAATTTGGTGTGAAGTTGCCGGAGCTAGCCACAAACCTCGCCGGAAGTTTCGCTGGAAAATTTCCAAAAACCTCCATTTAAGCTCGAGGTAAGCCCGTAGATATATCTAGTGACTAGAATGTTGGTATAGATCGTTTCTACGTTCATAAACGGTTGTTTGGTTGAGTTTTGTGTTTGACATACTTGAAAAACCAAGAATCATAAACCATTAAATTGATGTTAAAACTATGAATTAATGATGCCAAAATGATCTATGAACCTTGGAGAATATCTCTATATAGTTTTGTTGAAGTTCGATAACTAAAAACGGTATTTTCAAAATTGGACCCGAACGAAGAAGAAGATAAACAGTAATCAAAAACCAGGCTGTCTGGATCGATCTAAATGGGTGGATCGATCACCTGGGCTTAATTCCTCTACATATGGATTGATCCAAAGT